CAGAGTTGGGTTTTAGAGCAAAAGAGGAAGAGAACTTACTTTGCATATGAAAGAAGCATTGTATATTTACATGAATACACACTGAATGTTGGAATTTGTGATCAACTTTTATAACATGAATGTTCATCAAACCATCTCAAGATGAAACATTGTTTCAGAGGCCTTCTGGCTGTAGCAAACATCTCTTTCTCTTTTTTTTTTTTTTTTTAAGGGTTGAGTCCTTGGGAAGACAAGTTTGAACCTGACACTTTTTGGGGGGACAGAAGGGATCAGTAGTGTCCATTTCATGTTTTTTACATGTGTGTTTCATAGCCTTTAACTCTCTTTACCTCCTGCTACTTTATCCATTTCTTCTGAGGCACTTGCCTTTTCACATGTTTTCCCCAATATTTGGCTTTTTATTTTAGTGTTGCTCTTCATTATTTAAAGGGTAAAAAACTGGCCTGCTTAGCTGGTGCAAGCTTTCCTCTATCTTTTTTTTCTGTCCGCTGCTAGGGCATAATTAGACTGGCATTGTTTTGGACTGGAAGAAATGAAAATTTAGCACCTTGACAGTGTTGTCTCAGCTTAACTTTTTGTAAAATGGGGGTGGCGCAATGTAAGACACTAACCTCTGTGGCAGATGTGTTGTGGGAGTGCAAAATTGATCTTTTGCAATAATCAGTGCTGCCCTCTATCATGTTAACTTTTATTAAATGTTTAATAACATCCCTAACATCTCCTTTTACCTTATAATATTTTTCTACACCCAGCTCCTAATGACTGCTTCTATCATTTCAGAATAAGTGATAGGAATTCTTGCTTAAGTCACTTTCTGAATGTCATCTCTGTCTTAATGTCTTTCTCAACTATACCGAAAGCTTAAAGCAGAGAAAAAGCAATACATAGTTGCTTAGCAACATTAGGAGAATTGTGTTAACTCTGTCTGAATTCATGTATGCAACTGACTTACAAGAAATGCTTGTATACTTGAAAACAGGTATTAGATGCTTCACTGTTTTGAAGTGTCATCTTTCTCTTTTGACTTTCAGACTTATTACACAGTTAATAGAAGTTCCCAAAGAAAGTGTAGCCAATATATGCAATTTATTTGTCAAAGGATCAGTGATTTTACCAAAAAAAGTTAAATCTTCAGTTGAGCTCTTAAGTTCAGGGTTGATTGTTCTGCTTGGATTAATAGACAGGAAACAGAATAATTTAAGACTTGTCCTATTCTCAAGCAAGTACACTGTTCTTTTGCACTTGCTGCAGCTGTAACAATGGTTTTATAACTTCAAAACCTGTTCATTGGCCAAATTTTTGGAGGTGGGGAATATACATGTTCCTATTTCAACAGTTCATACACATCTTTATTGCTCTCTGTTATCCTTTGTTTCAGTCTTCTAATCATTATCCAAATGACACAATTGGCTATAAGGAAGACTGAGCACAAGATACTTCAGGGAAAATGTGATTTTGTGTGTGTGTGTGTGTGTGTGTGTGAGTGTGTGTGATAGGTGCATATGTTGTACTATGAAATTCAGTTTAAAAATGAAATGTTAATGGTTACAGTACTATATTGATTTGAAAGCACTTACTATGTTCAAAAAGACTAAATATATTAAAAGCAGAAACATAAGTTTGTTTTTGTTTACAGTAAAGCTGAGCATACTTTTATTAATCCATATTAGTTTCACTCCAGGTACCTTTTAAAAAGATGACACACACTGCATTAATCTTGTGTATTATTCCCTGAAATCCTCTTAAAGCACCCTTATTTAGCTGGGAATCATAATCTCACATGACAACACCAACTCGAGGGTTTAATTTCAAAACTGCTTGTTTGAAGTAGCATGAAATTGCTATCAATGGCTGCCAGCAGGCAGTAGTTTCACTGAAGGCGAAGAAAAGATTATGTATTTTAGGCTAGATTAAATATTTGGGTTACTATGAACATTATTCACGTTTGAAAGCATGATATTTTTTTTAAATTATGGAAGTATATAGCATTATAAACTTTGTATTTTTCTCCCAGTATCACTCAAATCCAATGCTTTTGTGAAGGAAACAAGAAAAAAAATCAGACTGGAGTTCTTTGTGTACTTCAGTTTAAGTTGTGTGAATAGTATCCAATATGGCTACCAGACTGAATTAGATAGGCTGGGAATTTTTCTGACAGCTAAGGTTATTTTATTTTTACCTAAAATGAAACTAGTGAAAGGTTACAGACTGCTGCATTTTTAATCAGGATTTGGCTAAGTAAGAATGAGAAATTATTTCAACTGTAATAATAATGGCAAAACATCCCAGTACCTAGGATTTGAACAAATTTTTGACATATTTTAGTGTTCATCATGTTAAAAAGAAATATTCTTCACCCAGGGTATGTCTAGACTACATAGATTAGAATATCCGGCATAGGAAAATGAAGCATCGATTTTAAATAATCGCTGCTTCATTTAAATTTAAATGGCTGCTGCGTTGAGCTGATCAGCTATTTGTCGGCTCAGTGCGGTAGTCTGGATGCTCCGCGGTCGACATCAAAGGCATTTGTCGACCTCCCAGGTAAACCTCATCTCAGGAGGCATACCTGGGAAGTCGACAGATGCCTTTGATGTCAACCGCGGAGCGTCCAGACTACTACGTTGAGCCGACAAACAGCTGATCGGCTCAGTGCGGCAGCCATTTAAATTTAAATGAAGCGGCGATTATTTAAATCGATGCTTCATTTTCCTAAGCCGGATAGTCTAATCTACATGCCTTTGTCGCCAGAGGCATGTAGTCTAGACATACCTCTAGAAACATACTGTTGTCTTCCATTTATCTGTAAGGACACTGAGCATCACATTCTGGATTTACCTTTATCAGAGCCATGCCATTTTATAACATTCAAGTGCACTCTGCTTCAAGGGAGAAGGGAAATAATGTGGTGGTTCAGACAGAGTTCCCCATGTGGCGTGACACAACACTATCAGATCTGTAAGGGAAAACATGTAGTTCTGATGTACTTACCTTTCTGAACAGCACTGCTCCCTTTAGCCCTGAGTAATTGACCCAGCTGGCTTAAAGCTTTAAGCCTTCCTTAAAGGAAAACACCATTGTGTTCCTATTAAGTGCTATGTGTGGATGAATAGTAATAATCAACATTCTGTGAACAGAAGGTGGCTCTGAGCTTGCTTTATGGGCACGGCCATGTCTTTGCAAAAAGTGAGGGTGGAGAGTCCTTCCAGTTAATTTAAAAAAGATACAGACTGTTTTAAGTCTCCTATACCTTACCTTATCTGTAGACCATGCAGCCCATCAGGGTAATCTGCTGGTGGTAATTGACTGTTTTTAGGCATGGCCCCCAGAAGTTACCAATGGCCACATTAGGGTTGCCAGGTGTCTGATATTGACCCAGACAGTCGAGTATTTTCGCCTCCTGTCCAGTAAAAAAATTCAGAAAATACCGGACACCTAAAATGTCAACAAGTTTTGTCTCTCCCTCTCCCCCCCCCTTTTTTTTCTCAACAGAATTTTTTCCCCGGTGGTTTTTTTTTTTTTTTTTTTTGGAGGGAGGGGGCGTGTTTGGTATTTTTGGTTAAACCGTCTGATAACCCTAGTCACATTTGCTGGTCTGGCCACTGGGAGCTGCTGGGGGATGGGAGGGCATGCCCATGGGGAGTCCAAGTAAACAAAATGTCTTGCCGCTCACCAGCAGATTATTCTGATGGGCCACATGCCAAAGATAATTGACCCCTTTGATAGACCATACTTTGACTGCAATTCTGCAAAGAATTTTGTGTGCTTTCTGTTGCACTCTATAAGTAGTCCCATTGACTTTAATAGGATTATAAATGTGTAAAATTAAGTATTTGCTTAATTTTTGTGGGATCAGGCCCTATAACAGTGTATCATGTTGGGGCACTGGGGCTGCTTGACCTTACTGATATATAGATTCTAGATCCCATCTTCCTAAGTAAATTTCCTCTTCTCTCAATGTTTTTAAAAATTATTTAGACTTATTCTAACTGCTCCAAGTTGAATGAAACTCATGTCCTTGGGGCATTTGCCACAGTCAGTTCTTTCATCCATTATTCTTGTCAGAAAGGGCAGTGCGTTTATACATATCATTCAGTAAAACTCAAATGGCAGCCTCACAAAACAAGAATGAAATGATGGAAAGATAATAATCAGATTCCCTTAAATTCCCTGTCACAGTAACAATTTTCTTAGTGAACCTGGATCTTCACCAACTGAAGCCACTTTTTGAGCAGGCAGAAGGGAAAGGATAGTGATTGCCATAGACAATTTCCGAACAAGTGTTCTTTGCCAGTTGGTTCCCAACTTAACACCAGATGTATGAGGGAAAATCGTCTGTCTGAGAAAACTGCAGTGAAAGTCAAGAGAGCTGGCTTTGTTACAAAAACAACTTTAATACATTTTCAAGTTTACATCATATTGTAGTCACAGTCCATCAAGACTCAATCATGGTCTTTTAACCATTGTCCTAAAACATTTTGGCTGGAGAGCATCTTAACGTTTTAACTCATTTTGGATAAGGTTGAAGCCAAGTATAATGTAAATTCTCTAGATAGTATGTTGACTTTGGTACACACTGATGATTGATATCAGTAGACTTGTAAAATAAAATGAGTATGTTCTGGAAATACATACGATTTCTGAGAAAACTTGTTGGCTAAAAGGCTTTACACTTGCTAAAAAGAGAACGAAAGGAATGGTGCAGCACATAAAATAAAAATCTGAATAACCAGATGTTCAGGACTTAATGAGTTAATATAAAACATTAATAACCTTGACTAAGACTTTCAGAGCAGCCTAGGAGTTAGATACTTGGAAATCAATGGGAGTTGGTTACACAAATCCCTTAGTCTTTTGAAAATCCAAGTTATTGTTTTTAACCTTGGACACATGTATTGTTTTCTGTGTTTGTGGATATTGGTCATTAGCAGGCACATTGAGCTACTAACCAAGTACGTTAATTTCTTACAGGTTAATTCTTTTTTTTTCTTTTAACACAGGCTTAGAATTTGCATATTCAGCTGCTCCAAAATCCATGCAGAGTGCCATTATGGGGCTGTTCTTTTTCTTTTCTGGGATTGGGTCATTTGTTGGCTCAGGACTTCTGGCGTTAGTGTCTATTAATGCAATTGGCTGGATGAGTAGTCATACAGATTTTGGTAAGTTATCCTAAGTGTATTAGAGGACGATGCAGTAAAATGCTTAATCAAGTCATTTTATTTCAAGGGTGGGAACTTATCTTAGAATTCTAGCACTTTGAATTTTGTAAGCCCTCTTAATATGGCAAAGACACAATTTCATCTTGCTGTAATTGGAGCTGAGATAGTCTTAAATGATGAATGAATCAGAAATGCATATGTTGTAAAGTGGACTTTATAAAAGAGCTGATTTAGTTAATTGCTCAGCTGTGTTACTATTTTTTATCACCAGAAGATAGTTGTATATTTAAGAATATTTTATATGAAGTGTCTAGATTAGTAGGAGCAGTTAAAGAAAGTTGAATCTCTTTTTTTATTCTCTCTGAACAGTTTAAAATTACACATTTTCAGTAAAAATAATAAAACAGGTTTTTTATTTGAGTGCTATTTGCACCTTATGTTTCAATGTGCTTTGCATTTCTACCTTGCAATCTCTTTATTTGTATAATAGTTTTAACCCAAGCCATGCATTTCACTGTTAGTTGAAATTAAACAAAATCATTGGCACCAGTAGGTGGCACCTTGGGAATTTTGTAAAATCATTTACAGATTTCATTGGCTTGACTAGCTCCAGCAAGAAGAGTGTGTAAAACCCTTATTTATTAAATTGAATGTTGATATTCAGGCGTAGTTTGTAGCCCCTAAATATGTCCAAAGTTAAATTTAGAGCTGAATTTTTTGTGTTTTCTGCTATATCAAATCTGACTTAGGCTTTTTTAACACTCTGGGAACTGTATTCATGTCATAAGTTGACATCTTCATTTTAAAGCTCCTTCTTTAAAAACAGATGTCTTAACCAATGCAACATTTATTCCAAAGACTGAGGGCCAGCATTTCAACTGCACAGTAGTAACAAATATTTTATTTTGACACACCAGTAGCTGTTGAGTTTCTAAGAACATAGGGTTTTTGTCATGGCTTTCATGGGAGTAATCTTTTTTTTCTAAAAAAAAATTCTTCTATAACTTCAGTTTGGGATTTTCAGGTAACATGAATGGGAAATTGGTTTCTGTGAGATCTTTGAACTTATTACCTCACCCATCTTGTCTTTCTTGCTAAACCCTGGGCTACATGGAAGACTATTAGACCAGTGGTTGAACAGTGCAGGACCAGACCTACAAATTCTCAGTGAGAGACTTGGTGCCTGTGGGGTTAGGATGTTTGTTCATTCTGAAGATAAAAAAAAGACTTTAAAAACAAGATTTGCTCTGCCATGGCAATATTGGAGATGAAATCTGTACATTCTTACTGCATGAATATAATATAAGAAATGTGCACAAGCCTGGAGGAAGTTATAAGTATTAAAATGTTTGTCACCCTGAACATTTTAATTAGGGATATTAGCATAAGCTTATCCAGTAGTCGACTGGAGTATCAACTACTTGAGCCAGCTCCTGGAGTTACCCTCACTGTGGCTCTGCAGAGCGGCCCTTATCGACTAATCATGTAGCTGATACAAATTGTATCACTACACGATTAGTCAGATAACCATAATTTAACATCTTTAATTTTAATTAGGAATGCTTTTTTGAGACTTTTTGTTTTTTTCCCCCCTTTCCAGTATGATCCATCCCGTTTTGTTTCCCTTAAGCCAGTGGTCTCCAACCTTTTAAAGCATGAGATCACTTTGAATTAAAACTTTGAATTTAAGCGCTATCCAAGATCTACCTCAAACCCAAATACCCTTGCCCCCCACCTCTTTTGTGCCCTGAGGCCCCACCCCTGCTTACTCCATCCACTGTCCCTCCCCCATCCTCCCTCCCTTTCACCAGGCTGGGGCGGAGGGTTGGGGTGCAGTAGCTCTGAGCTGGGAGAGGCAGGCATTTGGGGTGAGGGGGGTCTGGGTGCAGGCTCTGGGAGGATGTGGGCACCAGCTGGGCACTGCTTACTTCAGATGGCTCATAGGTGGTGGTGCAGTGAGGCTAAGGCAGGCTCACCCCTGCCCTGGCCCTGCACCACTCCCAAAAGCAGCCAGCAAACTCCATCCCAAGTCCTGTTGTGGGCCCTGCCGCACCTCCCCCCTCCTCCACTCTGCTCTGTGGAGATAGGATACAGTGTGGGAGAGGGTGCATCTTGACATCAGCATCCCTCTTCTCCCTCCCCTCCCCTGCCCTGCACAACAAGCTGGAAGCTCCTGGGGGTGGGAGGAGGCAGCTCCAAGGCAAAGGGCAGGAAGTGCACAGCAGTGGGGGGAAGGGCAGCTGAAGTGCCCGCACTTGATAGCTTCTTAGACAATCCAGTCAGGATCACCTGTCAGAGGCTCCAAGTTATAACAGTATATCCCAATTTACTGGTTGGTGACCACTGCTTTAAGCTATGATAAAACAGCCTCAGAAAAGGTAGCCCCCTCGTGTAAAACTAGATTGACTCAAATGCTTCCTGAATTGATTAAGATTGATAAGTGCTGCCTCGGGGGCTACTTTGATCAGCTGTGCAGAATAAGCCAGGTATGCTCAGTCTGCTTCCCAGGGGACATCTGTTACCAGGGAATTGCCAAAAATCCCTGTTGCTTTTGGCCCTGAGCAGCAACAGTAAAACTCTAACCAAGGGCTCCCCAACCTTTCGGGGCTGCCGGGCGTCTGGGGGCGGGGCCGCTCACGCGCCGGGCGTCTGGGGGCAGGAGCCACCCATGCACCACACACCCGGGGCTGGGACCACGCATGCGGCCCAAATCATTTGGCGGGTGCACATAAATGCCCCAGCGGGCACCATGGCGCCCGCAGACACCGCATTGGGGAACACTGCTCTAACCTCTTGCATTCTCAGAGTTTGTACTTGGAATCAGAGTTGAGGCTACCAGTAGGATGGCTTTGGGTTGTGCTGTCTTGACTTGCTTCTATATGGACTGTTTCTCTCCACTGAATAAAGAGGGCTTCATTTCTTATAGCTACTGGGTACTTTTCAAAGTACTAAATTCACTATTTATACTTTAAAAATTTTTAGCAAATGATTAATCAAATTTTAAATTAGTAAGACCTACTAAGGACTTCAAGGGTCCTTCCCATCAGTTGTGAGACAGAAGCTTTATTGTGAATTAAGGGTTTGGGCATTTTTCATGAGGTATTCTACACCTATAAATATTTAGAGAAATGAAGCATAAACTAAGAGCATTAAATGTTTTCTCATTTGCTTGCTCCTATTTCCCATTGATGGTGATAGAGTACACTGTCTGGTGACACTTAAGTATTGATTCCTATATTGAAATTATTAAATTATTTATGTGATAAAAATCAAGATTTCATGTAGTTAACATCCTATCCCATCCTACCCCACAAAGGAAAATTAATACTTTTTTAAACACATCTGCTCTTCAAATGGAGTTTTAGAAGTATGTTGTATTTTAAATATCAAGAGAAAACTGCTTTTTGCTTTTATTGCTTTTTTATTATAAACTCATTTTAATTGGATCTTAAATTTTCATAATTTAATCTCAACTCATATGTGTATGCTGCAGTCAAAGCTTGTAAGGATTCGTGTATGCTTCTCTATTTTATGCTTCCCCTCCTTCTGCTTATAACGGTTATTATAGTCCAGTTGGCTGTAGTTATTGTGTTATGTTGGTAGTGATCTATAATGTGTTGTTTCTGAAAATTCAGCAGTAGTCTGAGTTTATTTCTTAATAAAAGGCTTACCAATAAGCTTTCTTAATTTAGATGTATGTAATATGCCACAAATCTCTAGTTTAAAACAACTTTCAGGAAATGTCAGATGTGAGCTAAACCTGAAAGACTTTCCACTTTGTTGTATGGATTCCTAACTTTGAGAGGGTTGAAGGAGAATTGCTGTAATGGCTTTGTATGATAATGTTACATTTTTCATGATAGCATTGATTTTTTTTCCTGACTCCTTTGTTCTCCTCCTCCCCACCTCCGCTCCCCATTTGACCTATCAGGGAGGGAGATTGAGGTCTTTAGACATATAGGCACCATGTAATATTGAGCAAGACTAAGAGGTTTTCTAAAGAAATTCCAGTACATGAAATTCAGAATTCTGTTTATGCTTCATCCTTTTTAGTGATTTCGTAAAACATGTTTTTAACCTCAAGCTTTATGGTTTCACTGTATTCTAAGAGTTCACTAAAATTAGATCACTTAGCTTTTTCATTACATAAATTATTTGGTGGAAAATAGAAGTTTAGGTAGTATTGGCTAAGAATTGTGGATGTATTTAACTGGAACACTAGACAGCTAAAAGAGAATGATTCAGTTTACTCAGAAGAAAAATCTCATCTTCTGTAAGGCTGTTAATGACTAGAGATGGGCAATGACTTTATAATTTTTTGTATAAACTTGGTTTTAATTGTTTTCATAGAATCATAAAATCATAGTACTAGGACTGGAAGGGCCCTCGAGAGGTCATCGAGTCCAGTCCCCTGTCCTCATGGGAGGACCAAATACTGTCTAGACCATCCCTGATAGACATTTATCTAACCTACTCTTAAATATCTCCAGAGATGGAGATTCCACAACCTCCCTGGGCAATTTATTCCAGTGTTTGACTACCCTGACAGTTAGGAACTTTTTCCTAATGTCCAACCCTAAACCTCCCTTGTTGCAGTTTAAGCCCATTGCTTCTTGTGATGAACAAGTTTTCTCCCTCCTCCTTATGACACCCTTTTAGATACCTGAAAACTGCTATCATGTCCCCCCTCAATCTTTTCTTTTCTAAACTAAACAAACCCAATTCTTTCAGTCTTCCTTCATAGGTCATGTTCTCTAGACCTTTAATCATTCTTGTTGCTCTTTTCTGGACCCTCTCCAATTTCTCCATATCTTTCTTGAAATGCGGTGCCCAGAATTGGGCACAATACTCCAACTAAGGCCTAGCTAGCGCAGAGTAGAGCAGAAGAATGAGTTGTGCTTCAAGTTTAAGAAACTGTGATGTGTAAATTGAAAGCACATTAAGTTCAGATGCTTTTGTATTTCAAGGCATTGCATAGGAACATCATTTCTAAATACTTCTGGTAAGTGCTTATATTTCTCTCTCTCTTTTAGGTGTTTATGTAATGAATTCACATTCTGCATAAGTTGAAAATCAACTGTAAAAAATGAGGCATCCTCATAGCCTTCCTGTCTATAAATGTACTTTTTCTCAGGCTACTAATTCTTTTTAAAAACTGTTTAGGCTTTAGTGGCTTGTGCTTCGTGCTATACACATGTAATACCTGTAAAGTTGAGGAGTTTTGTGCAGTAATTGAGAAGAAATCCTATTATTTGTGGGCTAATGGAGTCTGAACTTCGCAAGGACTTTACTAACTTAAGAGGTAGAAGAACAAAATACAAAGCATAGCATGCAAGATGTATATTTTCCTAGAAATGCACTTTTTTTTCTAGATTATGCCTAAAACAGAAATACTTGTTACATGATAGAAGTATGATTTTGGGTTTGGTTTTGCTGATACTTTTATAGAGAGAAATCTTAGTACTCATAGGACTGATCAGGATTGACATCTTTATTTGTATACTTCCCATGTGAACATATTTTTCCTCTCCAATTCTCTCTAGGTAATATTAATGGCTGCTTTTTAAACTACTATTTTTTCCTGCTGGCGGCTATCCAAGGAGCAACCCTCCTACTTTTCCTTATTGTTTCTGTGAAATATGATCATCAGAGATCAAGGACTAATGGAGTGGCCACCAGTAGGAGGACCTGATATTCTGTGAAGTGGAAGAACAGTTTATTAGACCAGCACACAATAAATTAACTGGCAATGAACTGACTGCAAGATCTTAAAACTGTTCTCCAGTGGGACTGCTCCTTAAGCTTGTATGTTACATGAGTTCTCATTCTTTCCCCTTTCCCAGTAGGTAAGTGCCTTATTTGGTGAAGCTCGTATGCCCTATTGGTAGGGCAAATTCAGATCTTGGAAGTGCATTAACTCTAGGTATTACAGGTGCTGTGCTCATGCTGACATTCGGACTACTTAACATCTTTGGAAACTGAACATAACTAGTACGGAAACCATTGTAGTATAAGGTTCACTCCTAGCTGAACAACTTTGTTCAGTTAAGGAAGGTGGATGGGGGAAGAGGATACTTTTAAGCAGTCTTTATTATGTTCATGGCACCTGGTTTTTTCCATAAAATACTTTAATTTCTTGAAGTTCTGGGTATAGTTCAAGAGGCTCAGTGAAATAAGTAAGAAATCTCTAAATTTTAAAAAATTGAGGCAACTAAATTGTACAAGTCAGTTTTGGGGCAGGTGGGAGCAATCTGAACTTTATATTAGCCTGGATAAAAAGGGATGGCCTATATGTAATTAATCTGTTACAAATAGGACAAATGTTTAAAGCCTACACTTCAGTATTTAACATAAATGGCCTTGGGTGCATTTGGAAGATACAGTAGGTTATTTTGTAGCTGCTATAATTTTTGATACATGTTAAACACTTTGGGGGACTGAACAGGTTCTATTCCAGAATTTATTTTATTTTTAGGTCACAGTTAGGTTTATTAGATCATATGAGAAACTTGTGTCCTTTGAACAACTAAGTCTTTTATCTAAGGTTATCATTCTCGTTATCTCTATTTAAAGGTACTTCAGTATTTTCAAGGGTGTGAAAATAAATTGGAGATTGAATTTCACTTGGCTTCTTAGTAAATGAATGTGTAATATCTGTTGGAGGTCTCATAGCCCAAAAATCCTGGTGTCTTTTATGTAATTCTTGCTAATGTGTTACAGGGCTAGTACCTTTCAGCAACACATTCCTATTACAGAGTAAATGTAATTCTCAATCTTTCAGGCTGTTCAACTTTAATTGCTTCACCCTTTTGTATTTAAGACTGCATATGCAAGGTGATATAGAAAGCAATATTTTGCAAGTGATTATAAAGAAAACAAACTGAAAAATTAATATTAAATGGTGTAGTGTGTGAGCTTTTACAATTTTTTTCACATTTAAATGTTAAATATTTTTCAGTGCATAGAATGTCCTTTTAATGAGTTTACAAAGCAAAACAAACTCTTGTGCTGTGACTGACCCTTTGTTCCCAGGTGAATAAAATTACAATGCATATATCCATTGTTCTTTGGTCTTTATTTCCTCAGATGCATTTTGAAATCCTATTAATTGTGCCACCCAATGGAATGTGTATTAGTATGGGATGAGCCTGGGAGTAATTACATCTGTTTGTTGTTTTGGTAAAAGACATACACCCAGTAAGTTTGGTAATAGTTTGTAAGTCCCTACCTGCCTCCTGAGTGTGATATAAGATGTGAACAGAAGAGTACAAATAAGATCTGCAGCTCTTGTAAGCAAAACTTTAAATATTCCCTATTGGCTAATGTAATTTGTATTCTATATAGCTTTTAATCCCCTATTTGTGGTACATCACATTAAAAACCAATGTGGTCTGGTGGGATTAATATTCTTTGCAAAGATTGGAGTTGCCTACAAAAGAATCATATGACTATCTAAAAATCTACTTATCTAGAGATCTTCCTTTTTAAGATGACAGAACTCTAAGGATGGGATGAATCAGGAAGGTTTGATTTCATATAAATACAGGTTTATATTTCAGAAGCATTTGTAGTTTCACAAAATAACTGCTGTGCAGCTCGTTGTTACTCTGTTATGCCAGTAAATACTTATATGCTTTAGCTAATTTCTTTCAATGGCTACGTCTACATTGCGCATTCTTGCGAAAGAAGATAGGCAAATGAAGCGCGGTGATGAATACCTAATGAGCTGCCATTTTGCACAAGGGGCTTTTGTGCAAGAAGGAGTAGTCTATACTGCTCCTTCATGTGCAAAAACCCCCTCTTGCACAAGAGCTGTTCTGCCACTTATTATCAGGCAGAATGGCTCTGGCTCAAGAGGAAGGTTTTGCGCAAGAAGGAGCAGTGTAGACAGCTCCCTCTTGCACAAAGGCCCCTTGTGCAAAAATGGTGCCTCATTTGCATATCTTCTTGCGCAAGAATGTGCAATGTAGACATAGCCAATGTGTTTTCAGAATTCTCTGCAGATACCCATCTGCACTGGTGGGTTAATCTCATGAATTTATTCTCAACCCTGATCCTTGATGATAGAACTGTTCCATTTCACATTGGTCTGGGAAACTTATATGTTGAGTAAGATGTATGTTAAGATCGTATCTACTCTAGGGAATTGGTAATGGCAGTTTTGGAAGGTACTGGATTCTTGCTACAGTAGGTCTACCACAGATTAAATTCTTTGGGTTAGACAAGATTTAAGTGTGGTTCAGTTAGCTTAATCCAAAAGTGGGTAGTACCTTATATACATTTTACTTAGCATGTTTCTCTCCTTTTTGGGGGACTGAGTGTTTTTCATTTCAATCTTGGGTCTCCTGAAAGGAATACCAGAACCTCCTCTTTTCAGTCAGAGTGATACAAGAATCCCTGATGTAAACTGATCTACAGGTGCAGTATGCAATCAGCTTACTTTCCAAACATTTCCTAGAGAGCCCTTCTTGTTAGTTACTCATCTGGAGGTTTGAGTTGTCTTCTCCTTATTCAAGAAACCCGTTCAGGGGCTAGAGGGTAATGCATATCAGTCTGAGACAGAAGTGTCATCTTTGGTCTCCTTTTAAATGCTGTTGTGGTGATCATGGAACAGTAGGCCTTCCATGAGACACATGGGCAAGGACACTATAAGGTCCCCTTGATAGAGATTTCCCAAAGAGGAGCAAACTTCCTTCACTAGCTTTTTTTGGAGCTCAAAGATTCCCAGTGATGTGCATGAAATTCCTAAACTGTGTAACAGTTGGGCTAATCAAAAACCATATTTATTTAGGATGGAGAGTAATTAATGAAACAAGTTCAGGTTGTATCCTCTGCCCTGACAAATTGCCAAGCGTGTGTTGTCACCTAGGTTCAATTGTGGAGAATAAAATATACCTTAGGTTCCTAGAGAATTCCATTTGGCTGGGCTGGCTGGCTTATCAGACATAGGCTCTGGATTCGTGTGTCCTGTGTGTCCTCCTCACTTTTGACTCTGCTCCTCAGAGCTTCTTTGGGTTTGCTTATAGCAAAATATAAATATATATACAGTGACTTCAAGGTCACTTTTAAAATGGGGATGAGATCAGGGTGGAGAGAGAGGGAAATCAAGTCCATTATGTTAGGCTAGGGAACTACAGTAGACTTCCAATAATCCGGAATTTATGGGACTGAGGTGGTGCCGGATTATCAAATATGCCAGACTATCAGGAGGTACTATAAACAGGTTATATATATACTGTATACATTATATACTGTATATAAAGTGTTCTTAACCCTTTTCATTGTATATACTGTATACAGTATACTGTAACGTTTCAGTTTTTTTAAGCCTTTTTTACCCTTTTTGCTCAGTTCAGCTGCTGCCGCTGTTACCTTGTGACTCTTTTTTTGCCGAAGCTCACTCACTAGGCTCTTGCCATTTTGATGCCGGACTATCAGGAGAGCCGGACTATTGGATGCCGGACTATTAGAGTTTTACTATATTTAAAATTATTGAGGACCATCAAATAGCTCAAAAGTAATTTACCTCTGTTAACAGAAGGGAGACCAGAGATTGTTTCTTGTCTTCAGATTGTACAATGAACAAAGGGTAGTATTTTCCATGGTTAGAGTCACATAGGGTATGTCTACGCTGCAGAGAAAAAACAGCTCCTATTCTGAGCTCCGGTCAATTGACTTGGTTTTGCAGGGTTCAAAATAGCTCAGGCTCCAAGCCCTTCCTCTCTCACCATGTTTGAGCCCAGGATCCATCCTCAGGAGAAATGCTATACTGCTCTTTTTGCTCCACTTGACCTGAGATCTGGCACCACTGGTTTTTCACAATGCAGATTAGACCTATCTTTAGACTCCAAAATCATGTGGGTACCCAGGTGAGTCTGTATTTCACACTGCTTAGTACAATGGAGTTCTGATTAGTGGGTCTTTGGATGTTACCATAATAAAAACAGTGGCCTTGAAGCTATAGTGTCTTGACTAGTTTCTCCTGTTCAGTAATAGGAGAATGTTTACTATACTAATAGAAATGTAGCCATGATAGTCTGGTGTAGCTGAATCAAAAAGCAGGACTATGTAGCACTTTAAAGACTAACAAGATGGTTTATTAGGTGTTGAGCTTTCGTGGGCCAGACCCAGTCTGGCCCATGAAAGCTCATCACCTAATAAACCATCTTGTTAGTCTTTAATCTACTACTCCAAGAGAGGCCACTCCAAGATTTTGGAAAGTGGTCAAGGGCCACATTTTCCTGTAAAGGGGGTGCAGGGTCTAGGATGAAGGTTGAATGAAGACGGATGTGTGGAATATGCGACTGGAGTGTAGGAGACAGTGTGAGGTCTGAGAGGGAGTTTGGGTGGAGGGAATTGTGACCTAGGTCAGAGGATTGGGGTGCAAGGTCAGGGAGGGAGAGGATTCTGGCATGGGGAAGGAGCACTAGGAGAGGGAAAGTCTGGAAGGGAATTGTGTCCTTGGAGAAAGGGAAAAGGGGGTGCAGACTGCAGAGGGTTTGGGTAGTGACTTGGGGAAGGGGAATGGGGTGCAGGGTCTGGGAGAGTGTTGAGGTGCAAGAGAGGATTCTGACCTGGGGAAGAAGTGCAGGAGGAGGTGCAGGATCTGGGAGGGAATTGTGACTTTGGACTGGGTGGCAGGGGGTTTGTATGGTAACCTGGGAAATGGAGTTGGGGTGTAGGAGGGGTTGGGGTGCCACAGTAAGGCTCTGGCTGGGAGGCACTTCCTAAGTATCTCCTGGCCAGCAGCTCTGTAGCACCCCCCAGCCAGGGAACCGCAGTACACTTTAAAGTGCAGGCTGCTCCCTTCACATGGTTCACAGATCCCAGAGGGGGAGGAAGCTTGAACTACCCCCACCCCTAAGCCAGTCACTCAGCTCCTGTTGGCTGGTTGTTTCCAGCCAATACAAGCTGAGAGATTGGCTGGGGGTCAGTTCCTATTGGCTGGTTGTTTCTGACCAATCAGAGCAGAGAATTTGGCTGGGGGCGGGGTGATCACATGAAGCTTCCTGCTCCCTCTGAGCAAAGAGCTACTTGGACTGCACTTTAAACCTCAGCAGCTGTGTTTCTGAGGGTCCCAGCAAGGTGATCTGCAAGCCGGATCCAGTGGCTTGGTGGGCTGGATCTGGCCCCTGAGCCTTATTTTGCCCAGCCCTGTTCTTCACTGTTTTAAATAAACAGTAGATGTCAGATTATATTGTGAGGCTGTATGGTTGTTCTAAAACTCTGGAGAGGAAACTGAGCATGCAATCAGTTGTATAATTTAATTTTTATTTGGAATGACTTGGCTGAGCTCCAGGCACAAGTAATTAGACCATTTATGAAGATTAATCTGGCACTTCTCATCAAAGGGATAAGGTCTTTGTGACTAAAAGGCTTAGCTGATTCATTCTCCGGGCCTTATCTTTTAGTGTTTCCACTCCATTCACAGAAGTAGGATTAATCAATTAACTTCATGACTGAACCCTATAGCTAATTAATGAAATACCTTGAAGTGTACAATTTAAATTTAGTTATGTTCACTTTTTCCATTGTTGTAAAAAGATCCTTCACAAGAGTCACCGTAAAAGGACATTTGTAAGCACCTGACTTCTTCAGGTATCTTCTTAATTTAAAATGTAACCTCAAGAAGTTCATATTTATTGTTAGGGGCATCAGACTATGTAACGCTTTCAAGCTTACTGTAATTACTGTTTACAACAAAGTATACAAAGAATAAGCAATAAATCATGGCTTACGTGCAAGAATAGCATACAAACATGAGGTATAGTTTTTTAGTATTTCATTGGGATAAGTGCATAGATATACTGCTTTTTCACATGTTCTAATTTTTTGCATATCTTCAATAATATGCAAAAACCTGTTTTCCTCTCACTGCGGGTACCTGTTACATGGAATGAACTAACAATTTATTTTTAGACAAGGGGGAATTTAAAAGAAAGTCCCCATCGATCTTGTGTTTTATACAAAACTTCTGAGTGAATTACTTTAATTATAGCCATCCTGGCTTCTGCCAGTATTAAGAGTCTTTTAGCATTTCCATTATATTCACTA